CACCTAATCAACTTACTTTGTCATTCGAGTCAGGAGTTAGGACGCGTCATTTCGTAACCAGAGAAGTCCTCAACAGCGATCCAGTTTCTAGAACTGTTTTCGTCATTGACAGAAAGATAAACTGGACAGGAGAAAAGTGATGTTAACTAACTGGCTGGCTTACGGAACACGAAGGTTCATCACCGAATTAACCAAAGCCCTCCACCTTGTCCCATCCACGCGCGCTACATGCCCAGCCCATCTCATTCTTCTCGACTTAATCACCCTGACAATATTGGGGGAGGAGTACAGATTTTTAAGCTCATTATTATGCAGTTTCCTCCAGACCCCATCGTCTTCCCTCTTAGGCCCGAATATCCTCCTCAACACCCGATTCTCAAACACCTGCAATCTGTGTTCCTCCCTCAGAGTGAGAGACCATGTTTCGCACCCGTACAAAACAACAGGCAAAATTATTGTTTTGTATATTTTAATCTTCAGGTTCTTAGAAATCAGACGGGATGACAAAATATTTTGAACTGAGAAGTAATGTTAAAGTACGAAAAGAGTGGATAAGGAGGAAAATAGAAAGAACATAGAAAGAAACAAAATAAGAAACAAATATGGTAATAAGTCCTCGTCTGTCCTCCACTCTGTGACTCGTAATTTGAATTAAAAATTAGTCCCAAGATGCCGGTCTTCTGGATTGTAGCGCCGTGTAGTCTGCCTGCGTCAACGTTGGTAGACGTCTACCGGACGACATGGCGCCACGACCCAGAAGACATCTGTCTTCGTATTCACAGCCATAAAAACCTCAAATCCTACTATAAATTCGTTATTCCATGTATGTTATTAAATACTCTCGTCGGTCTTATTAGACAACTATCAGCTTTTGCGACGTTAAAATTTCTTAGACGTCAGTTTTCAGGACGTATAGAGAATAAAATGTCACGTACGCTATTTTCACTGTTAAACTTTTAATCAAATTCAAATTTCTTTATCCTAGAACTGCAATTTCACGACCAAAAAAAAAATGGAGGGCGTATTTATTTCATTGACGTCAGACAATTTGTATATTTTAGACGAAACAACACTTTCATAACGTATCCAAAATGTAGAACCGCCACGGTGGTCTAGCGGTTAGAACGCTGGCCTTGTAATCCTGGGGTCTCGGATTCGATTCCCGGTGGTGCCCGAATTTATAACTTGTGTTGGGCAAGATCGTGGTCTAGGCAACACGGGGTTTTCCTCCGGGGGCTTCCCCGGTTTCTCCATTCACACACAGAAGCAGGCAATGGCAAACCACTTCTGGATCATCTGCCAAGAACGTATATGAACAGGTCCCAGTCCGAGAAAAGGATGGAAGGATCCTGTTCATATGGACCTGTCGTCACACAGAACACTAAATAATAAAATAAAATCCAAAATGTATATTTACGTCACGTATCTCAGAACTGTTAAAAGTATTTTTCGTGTGAGACTCTGAACACATTATCAGCTACAGAGACCTCTTTTGAGAGCCTTTTCAGTGTTCCTCTCTGTTCCATCTACTGGTCCCTACCCATGGCTTCGTACAATGAAATGTCAATTATATTCGTTTTAAATACTCGTGTATTATCCTCTGCTCTGCCATCACTAAAATACATAATCTTCGTTTAGATAAGAAATACAGTGCGTAGATACTGTACTAACGTCCTCTAAAATACATAATACATTAATGTATTTCAGTCAAAGCAGTCGCTAATTACACAGAAGGACAATGCTTGCAGGTGTTAAAGTCTATTTGTCTGATAAGTGTGGTCTTGTGGGAAGGTGAGGGAATTATGTGTGCCGTGATAATACCTATTTTAGACGTTTCGGGACCACAAACTATCATCCCGGGACTTTTAATACCTGTATGAGCTTTGTTCTTTCATCCCACAAAACATCTTTAGACGGTCAAACATGGCCGAGACGCGTCTGCTGAGACTAAAAAGGTTTCAAACATTGTAAAAAAAAAAGGTGTTGGATTTGTGATTTGTTATGCTAAAGCCTGTGTTTAAGAGACAGGGTTACTTGTGTTGAAATTCTAAATGGATAAAATTTTGGTAGAATAACAAGTCTGTGACAGGAGACAGAACTGGGGAAGTGTGATGTGAAAATGGAGACTTCTCCAAAAATAACAGATTTCCATCTTACTTCCCCTCAATTCTCTGAACATTAGTTGTATTAAGAAGATGGCCAGGTTAAGGTTCACTGTCTTTTCGAGAGTGAATTTGCTATTACGAATGTTAATCTGCGAATTTCAAGGGACGATAGAAGCCTACGTCGTGTTACTTGAGGTCAGGACCGAATTTAAAGCTGCGTACAGCTCACACAAAATTGAATTTTACGAAATAAAAATTTTCTAATACAAACAACCTATAAACTTTATTGATAATTGCAACTGATACATGAAAACTAGTTGAACAGATCTGAGCAAAACTTAAAACAACACCAAAAAGTTTAGTTTATCAACACAATTTCATAGTGACCAACGAAAATATTTTATTGGCTGTAAGAAAGAGCGCAAAAGAATTTTAAACTGGAATAAACAATCGCTGAAACAATCAAATATATTTCCGTAATTTATGCAAATTAAGACACGCATTTGCGTAAGCGTTTAACGTACTCAGTGACAAGAGTCAGGCCTGTCTACTCTGAGGATGGAAAACACTTTGTGCAAACCGGATTATTTTTAAATAAAGGCCTATATATCAAATCTATAACAGCGCCATAATTCCTGAATAATACAAAATTAGTCATACGTGTCGCGTTCGTAAAATCACGTCGCTTCTCATGTTACAGTTCGCGAACTGCTGAACGGATTTGCATGAGGCCTGACAAAGAAACTAATTTTATTTCAAATACGACATATTTATTATATGAAGGACCCCTATCGTTTCTTGTCCGTCTCGCGCCTTACCTCTCGTCGTTAAATATTATCTGACGCAAAGTTTTTTCTAACGTGGGTTACAGAATCTTTTATGTTAAAACATTTCCGTCATCCAGATAATTACACAAGAGTTAGCATTCACGAATTTAATTCAAGGCAATTACATGGCATTTCACGTGTAGATCGATGTATATTTCGCCCATTCACAGGGGAATACAAACTCATGATCGTCGACGTATTTTGGGCCCGAATTATACAAGATGTGACGCCCAAAATGTCACAATTTTTATACATTTTACACGAATTCCTATTTTTGTATAGCCATCAGCGTTGTACATTCTTTTTCACAATGCCCGTTTTTAATTTCGAAATAATAAAACCGAAAATTATCTCTTTTATCTTCAAGCGAATTCATACGTCGCGGTAAATCTTTGTACGAAGACGTACACATAGTTCAAGCTCCCACTAACAGATGGCAGGACCAAACAAGTCACAACAGTCCTATTAACAGAGCGCCAGTGAAATCCGAAGTACGGTGCGAGCCGAGAGTTCAGTGGATTCAAAAGAAATCTTCGGTAGGCTGTAGACTCCATTGGAGTAAGTTCAAGGTTACTATTGTTAAGAATCCATCCCGATTCCTCAAATTCTTACTCAAAAATGTGTCCCTCGTCCTTACGATGGAACTGGTTCCAAATCCGCAGTCCATCGAGAGGCGCCACCTGTCATTTCTTAAACATAGAATATCCGAAAATTGACTGGACATTTCACTGGAGCTTCGAGCTTTAAAAAATTTAAGAACTAAATGACGCGAAGTCAGACAAAACACTGTTATCCACCTCCAAGATAATAATCAGAGTGTTAAAATAGTCAGACAATAATTAAAACTAACTCTTCAGGTGTTACGTAGAGATTTCTGGCTACGTATTTACGAAATGACAAATGTCTTTAAGTTGTAAACAACGTTTCCACTTTATAACGTAGTTTTCAAATGTTCTGTGCCCTTGTTTTGTTACAGAAACGGGCAGTATCTAGTCTAAATTTCTAGGGCGAGGTCTGCGTACCATGCGAAGAGGCTTCTTGCAATTATTATCGATATCCAACTCGTTTTCGACATCTCGAGAACAAAATAATGCAAACCAGAGCCTGAGTTAGTTGTGGTAAATCGTACAATTTCACAAAATGTCGTGTCAACTCTGATAAAACAGGATTAACCACGTGATGAGCAGTTTCAAGGGCAATCGATAATGTTGACACCCCGTTATAAGACGTTTATAAATAAAGAACCCTGTTGATACGTAATCGATTGTCCTCAATTCTGACGTGCTCCACGCGTCTCCATAATTCCAGCTTCGTAATAAAACTCGGTTTGTTTAATGGAGACTTGTTAATGTTGCACCGCTTAGTGAAAGACTGTAGTTTATAATATTGTGATTTTAAGCTGTTCCAACAGCGATAATTATTTATTTAATGAGTTAAAACTAAATGTTACACCGAAATGAGACACGCGACATATTCTACGTCCTTCCTTTGAGGGACTTTTCTATCGAGTACTAAACTTCTGTGAACTAAAATCATTACTGACTTTCACTGTCAGTGCCTTCTGGTCATTAGACGCTGAAAACATTCCTTTTAACAACACATCTACTTAAATTTCACAGCCCAATATTCTTAATTTGGTGTTACGTATAAAACAATTTGAAATTTAACTTGAAAATATAAACCTAACCTAACCTTAAGTGCTGATTTTGCCTATATTTCTATTAGATTCGTAATTATAATATAAATAATAAAGTCCTTGAGCCCCATACAACAATATTCATGCGTAAATTGGACCTGTGATAAGTGGAAAGTGAAACATAACCTAACCTAAATGTACGAATGTAACATCAGATGTCGAATAAAACACTAATACACTACCAGGATGCATTCTCGTGAGACTAATTCAAACCTCAGACATCGGGGAAATTCTTACGTGTTTTAGGTACACAGAACTAAATTCAGAAAACTTCGCTGTAATCTAAGGTATTTTGGTGTCCACGTGAATTTCCTACGCATCAAATTATGATAAAGCCTTTATTTCAAACATTGCATTTTTATCTCAGCCTACCTTAACCCCTCGTCCTTGTAAACAGCTGTCGTTGTTCGTCCGCCATTTTAAGAACACAAAAAAACAAAACACTCTCCCGTCCCGAAAGACGCACGTAACATGAAGTCAGATCCATCGTCGCTCGTAGTGGACTGGAGACATCGCTGTCACTCCCTCTTCACTTTCTGTCCCCCCTGGTGGTCCTGCAGCCACGACGCCACAGTCCCGTAGCTTCTGTTGTGCCAACCCACTCGCAGCTCCAGGCCTTCCAACTCCTGTTCAATTTTTCTCTCAGCAAAACTAAACTTCCCTTTGTTTGCTCTGTAAAACTCTCTGACCTGCAACACAGCGTAATCGTTACTGCCAACAGAATAATAACATTTTACAAGCTGACGGTCGCTCGATTGGCCAATAAATTGAACGAGTAGATCCGTCTCTACGTCACAATTAAAAACAAATCGATATGTATTTGTTCACATTTCTTGGTCAGTATTGAATTGTGCGACACGTTTCGGGGATCACACATTCCATCCTCAGGGCACTATCTACGCAACTATTCTGCCCGTTAGAAGTGATATTAGCTGCGGTTAAAATATAAAACATAAAACGTAAATACGCAAACGTCGTTGCAAATCTATTTTCAAATGATTTTATTTATTTTAAACGAAACAAGTTATTTAAATTGTTTTAATATTATTCTCAATTGTTATATGAAATATAATCACAGTATTTTTGTGCTGGAATGGGTTTTTTTTAAACTAATTATCATAATTTAGAAGTGTCACGCGTGGCTCTTTGATTCTCGACGCTGGTCGATTGTCGTGTAGATAATCGATGCGGCCGGTCGACTTCCGTCTTCTGTTTCCTTGCGCCTTTCCTTTCGTACCCTGTGCGCAAGCGCGCGAAGGGGAATTCGAGCTGGATTAGGAGGGGTGGGTCCGATCTTGAGCATTCACACACGCTCAGTCTCTATCTGACTCAGTTCTATGGTTGAGAAACGCGCAGTGTCTGTTTTTAAGCTGGCATTACGGGCAGTTTCTACCGTGCGTACATACATTTAGTCTTCTATTTGTTTGTTTAAATATCAGCCATGAACGAAGAGGTTGCTCTGGGCCTATTTTTCGTAACAGATTCAAAATTCAGCTTCACGTTACGTAAAAGTGCTTCAAATTTGATGAATTCTTATACTTTGCTTACGTAAGTGAGGAATGGGTTCACATGATACAATGCAGTAGGAACGTTTTGATGGACTCCGATTCCAACACAGTTGCACTTTGCCCTTCTTAGTATACACTTAACTTAAGTTTTTGTTTTAAAAGTCTTAGTACTTACGTATGTGAGGTCAAACTCTGTGCTGAGTCCAGAAATTGCACCGTGAAGAATATCGCCCATGAGATACTCGTCTTTACCATACCTGAAACCGGAAACGATGTTGTTTCGAGAAAGTCACGAGTCCAAAGAAGTGAGGGGGGAGGGGAGGGGAGGGGGGAACATGTGTTATCTTTTGTTATATTCACATGACCTGTCCACGAACACATTTTGTTTTCACAGTTTAGACTTACTTCTCGAAGATCGAGCTCCATTTGTTCTGGATGTAGCGGAAAGCCACTCTGGATGTGAGGTCTCTGGAAGCCATGTTGTCCCACAGTCTGGAAACGTCTTGGAGCCGAATCTCCCCGCCACTCTCAAGAGATTTCTCCAGCAAACTGAAGTTTATGAAACAGACTTTTCTGCTTAGGCGTTTATAGAAACGTTCCCTGAATTTGCCGTGCATGGGATGTTATTGGATTTGGTCAATTTATTAAAATCCTGGCAGATTGCACGGAGAGGCGAATTTCGACAAATGTTTACGTCTGTTATGCATATTTTTTCTCTCCAAAACGCTAAAATAAGCCTGAAAATCCAGTGAATATCACAGAAACATTATTATTTAATTCTTATGTTAATTACGCACTTTATCTAGGACTCAGATAATGCTTGGGCAGATTCGATTACAGTTTCATATTAAATCGCTTAAATTTTAAAACGTCGACGAAATCTCGATGCCTTATTTCTCATTAGTGGTTTTAAGAGCAAAATAAATCGTCATTCAATCATGGATACTGTTTCGGGTCAAAGTTATTTAGGTTTCCCTCTCTGACAAAACGTTCGGTGCTAACGTGTTTGTAACATCGTGGAATTGCTTCTTAGAATGGCCACGCGGCACGTATCAGCGCTGTAAGCATCAGTACTCACGTGACGATTAGCCACTCCTGTCGGGAACACGCGAGGCTCATCAGAAGCACGTCTGACTCGGAGGGTCTGTTCGCCGCCGCCAAGTACCTCTTCAGGACGAAATCCCACTCTTGTGTGCCACCCGTTTTCACAGCTGTGCAGTACACCACACCCCTCACGTCGACACGGACCCTGCAAGTATTCGTCAGTCCTGAGCCCACGAAGTAACTCGTGGCAGTTCTCGACGTAAAAGTTTCGACAGGAAAAATCTAGTGCCTCCTTCTGATAAAAACCCCCCAACAAGAACTTAAATCATACATAAACAGTTCACTTTTACGTCACTATTGAAAGAACACGTTATTTCGCGAACAACAAATTCAGACTTCGGGGGAATGGGACGAACTCTTACGAAGATTAACGAATCTACGGAAAGGAATTATTCCCTTGAACGTCACGCGCGATACGTAAGACATCTCAATTCAGACACCGACTAAGAAATATCGCTTACGGGTTTTCAGTGTCGGGCTTCGAAGAGGTGGTCCACAGCTGAAAGAGGTTCTTCGCCCATCTGACGACCTCGGGGTCGTCCATCTTACTCAACCACGCGAGGATATCTGGGCGTAAAAGAGATTGCAGCTGCGTCTCGGTGGTCGTGGCTTCGAATCCCAGACTTTCCGTCACTGCTGCCAGTGTCTTAAGAATGTATTTCTGGAACGACAAATGTCGCTTATTTATGGATAAATATTTTCACTTCGTAAACATCGAAATGTCTTTCAAAACAGAACGTCGATGATATTCTATAAACAAGGCACTGTCGTTAACCCTTTGAAGCCGAAGATCGTCTTCATAATATTTACGAATCCAGATCGTACCGCGAAGAAAACACTACACCTCACCATTAGAAGTCGAATCAGGCGGTACCACATAAGATTTAACAAAAGAACATCCCGGTCGAAGGCTTAATACAGAAACAAATCATTTCTTTACCACGTGAACGTGTATCGAACTCTTTTAAGAATAAAGTTAATTAGAAATTTTCGGTAGGTTAATTAGGTTATCACGTGAAAATAGTCCTCCATCTATTTCTGATAAAGTTTCAAAGCATTTCTACATAAATCGCATTTCTATCTCGTGGAAACGTTTACTGGGCACTCGACGTCCATTACCTGAAAGCATCCGTACGCCGTGGTCTGACGAAGAACCAGATCCAGGAACTTGAAGTTCTCAAAGGCGGCTGTCCACGGGACATAATGATTTTCCCCGGTTGCGAGGTACTGGGTCATATTGAGAGCAACGTCATAGCCCAAGATTCCCGCCCGGGCGAGGTTCAGGGCGTCGTCTAGGAGTTGAGCTCTGGTAACTGCTGGCAACACG